GGAATAATAATAGGAATAAACAGACCAACAATTCAGGAAGCAAAATGGCTCCTGGCCTGGAGAACTGATGTAACCTCAGCCTACAACACAGGCAGCAGTCATTATAAAAAGCATTCTGGTACCGGGTTACTAGCCTAGGGAATATCTAAGATTTGTTAATGATACATAGCATATATTGTTTTATGATGCAAACAATGGTCAGATCTCCCATACATGAATATAAACAAAGACGCATAATATACATATGATATGTTTCAAGAAGGAGATATGGGAGGAAGAAGTTTCATGGAAATAGTGAGGAAAAGAGCAGGTAAAACTAAATTTTAAAAAAAGTGCCATTTTCCTCCACCCTTTCCTCAGGAAACCCACACTTCAGTTCCCAGCACCCACTTGACAGCTCACAACCATCTGTAACTCCAGTTACAGAGACTCTGATGCCCTCTTCTGGCCTGCATGAGCACTGAAAACACATGGTGCACAAACGTACACATAAAACATAAGTAAATAAATCTTAAAAAGAAAATTGCCTTTGGTGGGAGACCTTGCACAGCCTTGATGCAGGGGAAAAAGCTTGGACCTGCCTCAGCTGAATGTGCAGGGCTTTGCTGACTCCCCACAGGAGGCCTTACCTTTTTGGAAGAGGGGATGGGGAGTAGGCTGGGGGGATTAATTGGACAAAAATGAAAAGGCATAAAATTCTAGGTAGATATGGAGACAGCCAAAGGCAAGTACATATAATCCTAAAGTTACTTTAATATCTGCATTAAGGAGAAATTCAAATCTATTTTTAAAAGAAATTGCTGACTGTTCCATGGTTTTATAGCCAGAATCCAACAGATTTTCTTTAATTTGAAACCCACAGAAATATTAAAATCTAAATGAGTAAAACATAAAATATCTGAACTGAGAAAAAGTTTGAAATTGGAAATACAAAGACCTTCGAAAGATAATGAAGGAAACTCTGAGTTTAAATTCTTCAAAAGGTTGTAATACTAATATTCATTAACTCTTAACTGTTGTATAGCAGCAGAAATAGAGTCCCAGCTGCTTGTGTGTAATTAACAGCTCACTCTTCCATTCTAGTGACCATGAGTGTGTATTTGCGCATAACTTGTGAATTCATATATAGTTCTGAATACACAGCAGAACCTATTTTCCAAGTGAACTCTGACACTGTCATACAAATCAAGGGAAACAAACATGTTCCAAAGGGCTTCTAGATGATGGAGATAGATCACTCACCATCCTAAACCTGAGTCCCTTAGTTAGATAATAAATAACTGGATAAGGGCTTGTCTGTCTGATCCACAGTCTGATGGCTGCCTAGCTCAGACCCCAGGAGACCCTGTCAATTTCCAAGCCAAGGTGACTTTAACAAAACATATGAAAGAAAGTACTGCCCTTCAAATTCCTTGCTCGGCCTATGCAGTTTATAATTTTATGTTTTGTAAGCATAACTTATGATTTCCTAAATCACTTTTCTTTCATCTAAAAATATCAAACAAATCCACTTTTACTGGAACTGAGAGAGCCTGTCAGTGTTTCTAGTAGTTATTGATAATCTGGTGGGATTCAGCTAATTGAGCCTTTAGTACTCAAGCAAAGATGAGACTCTGACTTCCTTACTGCCTCCGGGTTTCTATTGCTGTGGTAAAATGCCACGTTCATGAACAGCTTGGGGAGGAAAGGATTTATTTCTGCTTACAACTTGAAGTCCCACTCTAGTATGTAGGGAAGTCGGGGCAGGAACTCAAGGCAGGAACCTGGAGGCGTACAGAGGCCATGGAAGAGTGCTGCTTACTGGCTTGCCCCCCCCTGGCTTGCTCATTTTGCTTTCTTATAGAACCCAGGACCACCAGCCCAGGAGCAACATGGACCACAGTGAGCAGGGCCCTCCCACCTCAATTATTAATCAAGAAAACCACCACAGGCCAATCTGGTGAGGGCATTTTCTCATTGAAGATCACCAACTCCAAAATGATGCCAGCTTGTGTTAAGTTGACAAAAAAAAAAAAAGAAAGAAAGAAAGAAAGAAAGAAAGAAAGAAAGAAAGAAAGAAA